TCTTGCAAAACACATCAAACAGCAAAGAAGAGTAGAAGACATAATTAGAAGACAATACGAAAACATGAAAAAAAAGTAAAGAAGTTTGCTTACCCAATTTGCAATGCATTTGGTTCCCATTTGCAATATGGTTTAGCAATCTCGGTTCTCAAACTACCAACCCCAATGTGACACCATATTACAAATACAACACATGATTAGTTGACAACATCATATAGTCTACTAAGAACATGATAAATAGGAGCTAGCAAGGCTCAGATGGCCACATAGTCAAACTGTTCAAATGGCAAATAGGCAGTTCAAAAGTACATTACATAACAGCTAGAAATATAAAATGAGAGAACGACTGATGGAGTGATGGTCTCATTCTCTCATGGCTGAAGCCTAAAGGATGAGTGAATGATTGAATGTGTGAAGCAGGCGACTCAAGTGAGAAAATCAATTATTTCCTCCTCCAATTATGGTCCATCAAGTGAAGATCTGCACCTTCAAGCATGCCAACACCCACAAAAGTCTCAACTTCATCTCCCACAATGTCCCACATTTGGCTTGCCCTAGTTCGATATGCTTGAGAATTCCTAGAAAGCAGGCGGTGGTTGTTGTGTGTGAACATCAAATCAGAAGCTCGAGCAGGAGTTAGCTTGTTTTTGTAGCAATATGGATGAAACCATATGTGCTCCAGTTCCTCTCACGGGAAGAGGAAGATTCAGGCTGCCCAAGTACCTTCAATGCTAATGAAAATAATAGCCTTGTGCTTACTCCATGAGTGCCCCACCATTGCTTAGGTTCAAAATCAGCTCTATCTTCAATAGCTAGATTTTCAAAGGCATTCATGAAAAGAGCAAAGCCAGCAATTTCTTTCTTGATAGTTTTGAAATCATCTTCATCTAGATAGAACTTCCGAAAGCATTTGTTTCTCATTTATGTAACTTCATGGTCATCATTGGAGCTGATACGGTCAAGGATTTCATATCCAACTTGGACTATAGTACTTATGATATGAAGTAAATAAAATCAACAAGCATCTTCAAGTTGAGAACTTTGAATGACAAACAAGAAACAACAACATCTATGTATCACTTCAGATTATACGTTAGATTTAGTGAGCGAGCCAGGCCTCTTAGTCCAACGGGAAACAAGGATCTCTTTAATAATGCCATACAAGATACACTCTTCATGATGCTACTTTCCTTCAAATCGATATATATGATAGGTATTTTGACCTATGAACATGAGAACAAATAAAATCAGCATGTTGATGAAAGATGCAAGAAGCCAAGAATCCTTTATCATCTCTATCATGGAATCCCACATTTCATAAATCAAATGGAGATATGGCTTGCCCGTGTCGGCCAACCTTTATCATTGCATAAATAGGGTCGGTGGAAGAAACATTGTGTTCAATTCTATCCCACCACGGATCATTGAGAAAACGCTCCTTCACCCTTTGAGCTTTATTCTAAAAAGCACGAACATGGGGACAGAAAGATAGGGGGTATGTATACAAGGACATGGGATACGTCATTTCCCAACAAAAATATTCAGGGATACGGTGAGTATATATAATATAAAATAAAAGAATGGCATGTAATATAGAGTATTTTCGGTGACCAAAAATATGCCATTTAGGGATGCTCTTGTACTTTGCTTCAAAAGCACTGACGATGACCACTCGAATCACATTCTCAGCTCCAACTTCCTCAATCACTTCCTTTAGCTTCTCAAAGGTATATTAATTACTTTTTATCTAGCAATGAAGACAAGTCAAAAGGTCAACAAGCAATATATGCAACAAATCAAACAAAAAGACAAACTAAATTACCTAGGTACTAACATTTTACCTCCCCCTCGATGAAAATTGCCTTTAAGAACATTGGACCACCTTTGTCACTACCATGAAGTTTAAAATGTGTCGCCTTTGAGCATTATACCAACCTGTTGGAAATATGCCCTAGAGGCAATAATAAATTAGTTATTATTATTATATTTCCTTGTTCATGATAACCGTTTCTTATCCATGCTAGAATTGTATTGATAGGAAACTCAGATACATGTGTGGATACATAGACAACACCATGTCCCTAGTAAGCCTCTAGTTGACTAGCTCGTTGATCAATAGATGGTTACGGTTTCCTGGCCATGGACATTGGATGTCGTTGATAACGGGATCACATCATTAGGAGAATGATGTGATGGACAAGACCCAATCCTAAGCCTAGCACAAGATCGTGTAGTTTGTATGCTAAAGCTTTTCTAATGTCAAGTATCATTTCCTTAGACCATGAGATTGTGCAACTCCCGGATACTGTAGGAATGCTTTGGGTGTACCAAACATCACAACGTAATTGGGTGGCTATAAAGGTGCACTACGGGTATCTCCGAAAGTGTCTATTGGGTTGGCACGAATCGAGACTAGGATTTGTCACTCCGTGTAACGGAGAGGTATCTCTGGGCCCACTCGGTAGGACATCATCATAATGTGCACAATGTGACCAAGGAGTTGATCATGGGATGATGTGTTACCGAACGAGTAAAGAGACTTGCCGGTAACGAGATTGAACAAGGTATCGGGATACCGACGATCGAAACTCGGGCAAGTATCATACCAGTAGACAAAGGGAATTGTATACGGGATTGATTGAATCCTTGACATCATGGTTCATCCGATAAGATCATTGTGGAACATGTGGGAGCCAACATGGGTATTCAGATCCCGTTGTTGGTTATTGACCAGAGAGATGTCTCGGTCATGTCTGCATGATTCTCGAGCTCGTAGGGTCTACACACTTAAGGTTTGATGACGCTAGGGTTATAGGGAAGGTATGTACGAGGGGGCTGTGCGCCCCCCTCACCTATTCCCACGTGACCAGGGGGTTTGGGGCACCCCATCTAGGGTTCCCACCTCTTGGCTTGGGGGCCAAGTCACCCAAGGGGGAGATCCCATCTGCCCTGGCCGCCGCCCCCCCTAGGGGAAACCCTAGGGCGCCTCCCCCTTCCCCTTGCCCCTATATATATTGGAGGTTTTGGGGCTGCCCAACACACGAGTCTCTCTCTCCCAAGGCGCAGCCCTACCTCTCTCCCTCCTCGTCTCT